CTTCCCAGTGTCCATCCCTCATACTCTCCTGCCCGCTGAGCTGTCACCCTGTGCATAAGCAGCCCTTCCTTCTCCCGTTATTCGCCTTTATGTTAAAGTAGAATTTCAGATACTACCTAGGCATGAGTAACCTTGAGAAATACAGAACAGAGGGGTTTCCTTTAAGGGAAGAGGAAACAGATATCACATCTTTCCGAAGCGAACTAACAATAGAGTAAGAAAGCCAATGGTATAATTTGTGTCTTTGAATCCTCAGTCCATGTACATTAAACTTTTCTTCATTTGTTTCAGAATGAAGCGAAAGTTCTACTCTTGGGATGAATGTATGAATTTGAGAGAAGTTAAGGTAAAATCCTAGAGATGAAAAGGACCAAGGTCTTAACTGGACTATCTGCCTCACAACAATCTCATTTAGAGGACAGCAGCCAAGGAGATTATTCTTTTCCCTGTGGGCGGCATTCCAAAGATAATTATATTTCTTACGTTTTTCCTTTATCTTTCTAATGTAATTTTAGCTCATTTCTTCTATCAGTGGAAAACAAAAAATAACTATGAACTTATATTTGAAAATAGACTTCTCACTTTCAAAATAACATCATACAATGAGAGAAAAGATAACTTTTAAAATTGCATTGTTGTTGCATGCTGTCAAATTGATTTTGACTCATAATAACCTTGTAGGACAGAAGATAATGTTTCCAAGGCTCTGAATCTTTATGGAAACAGCCTGCCACATGTTTCTCCAACAAAGCTGATGGTGGGTTTGAACTGCCAACCTTTCAGTAAGCAGCTGAGCACTGAGCTCTGTGCTATCAGGGCATTCTGTTTACTTGTATCTTATTTTATGTGACTTGGATAAATTTTTTGGAGGCTTTTGAGTACAATTTGCTGTGAGAAAAAGATTAGACTTACTTAGCAGACCTAAACTACTGCCATGGAGTTGATTCTGATTAATAGTGATCCTATAGGAGCTCTGGTAGGAGCTCTGGTAGCATAGTGCCTAAGGCACTTGACTGCTCACCAGAAGGCTGGCGGTTCAAACCCACCAGCCACTCCTTGGAAGGAAGGTTGGGCAATCCTACTTCCGTAGTGATACTGCCTGGGAAACCCAAGGAGGGGTCGCTATGAGTCGGGCCGACTTGATGGCAAACAACAACAACAACAACAACAACAACAACATAGGAGCTCTGGTAGTGTATGCCTAAGGCATTTGACTGCTGACCAGAAGCCTGGTGGTTCAAACCCACCAGCCACGCCTCAGAAAGAAGGTTGGGCAATCTACTTCCTTAGTGATACTGCCTCGGGAGGGGTTGCTATGAGTCAGGTCTGACTCAGGGCACGTAACAACAACAACAATAGGGCAGAGTAGAAATGCCCCATAGGGTTCCGAAGGCTGTAAATCTTTACAGAAGCAGATTGCCACATCTTTCTCCCACAGAGCAACTAGTGGGTTTGAACCATTGACCTTTTGCTTAGCAGTCTAATACTTTAACCACAGCATCACCAGAGCTCCTTTACTTAATAGATGGGAAGAAAAAAGTGATAGATTTAAATATTTAAAGCTATGATTGACTTGGTTTATTTTTGTACTTACACACATTATTTAAAACAATTGCAGGTTGAACTGGGAAAACTTTTATGATATATTTATGACGATGACAAAAACAGAAAATAACTCTTGAGGGTATTTATGTACAACCAGATACCTCAGGGGATTTGGTTATTTGGTTTGGAGGTTTAGGGTCATAGTTTCATGGGACATCCCAGTTAATTGGCCTAATAACATGGTTAGTGTTTCTGTCCTACTTCCTAGTTCATTGCATAGTGTCTGGGTCTTCAAAGCTTGCAAGCAGTCATCCAAGGCAGAACAATTAGTCTCTATTTGCCTGGAGCAATGGAAGAAGAAGGAGAATCAGGAATAGGAAGAGAATGTGGAATGCCTGGCTAATTGTCTCCATGCACAACTGCCTCCTTTACCTTGAGACCAGGAGAACTGGATGGTGCCTGGCTACCATGACTGAACATTTTGATCAGAGGTTCCATGGAAAAATTCTGATCAAAAAGGGGGAAATAGAGAACAGAATTTCAAATTCTCATGGACTCTAGACTTTGTACAGCCATGTAGGGCGGATGAACCCCTAAAACTATTGCCCTAAGATAATCTTTAAACCTTAAACCAAAAATATCCCTTGAAGTCCTCTTAAAATCAAACAGTAGTTTAGCTTCACTAGTAAAGAGTGTCTGCCTTCAGCATTATGCTCTTAAGAGCTATCTATATGGGGTCAAATTGATAATAGCAACTCAAAAGAGTAAATAGGAACCTTGGGGGGGCAGTGAGATTCTGTTTTTATTATAGTTTGGGTGACAATGAGAATGGTTGCACAACTCAAAGAATGTAATCAATATCACTGAATTGTACATGTTGAAACTTTAATTGGTGTGTGTTTTTGCTGTGTATATTCTCAACAACAACAAAAATAATGAAAAGTTAAAAAAAAATAATTACAGCTTACTTTAAATAGCTGTTCTAAGATATTTTGAAATTACGTAGACATCAAAATGCTGTAACTTATTAACAAATCCGGAAGAAATAAAACACTACTAAGGTAATTCTCATAACTAGCATTAATGAGATTTTGCTAACTTCTGTAACTTTAAGGATTTTAATCCTTATTTACTGCATTGCAGTCTCTGAAGAAACTTAATCATGCCAATGTGATTAAACTAAAAGAAGTTATCAGAGAAAATGACCATCTTTATTTTGTATTTGAATATATGAAAGAAAACCTGTATCAATTAATGAAAGACAGGTAAGCCATTATATTATGAACACTAATTTTTTTCCCTGGATCTCTTCAGTATGTCAAACTTTACAATATACAGCTTAATATTGCAAGAAATAGATTTAAATGGATTAGTTCTCATATCTTTATCGAAGAATAACAGTGACATTGAAGATCCACTTATGATATAAACCCCAAACCCACTGCTGTCAAGTCAGATCCAACTCATAGCGACCCCGCCTTAGGTTTCTGAGGCAGTATCACTATGGAAGTAGATTGCCCAACCTTCCTTCTGATGAGTGGCTGGTGGGTTTGAACTGCCAGCCTTCTGGTTAGCAGTCAAATGCCTTAGGCACTATGCCACCAGAGCTCCCACCTATGATATAGCCACTTTTTTTTAATTATAATGATGTGTAGTGCCCTAAGGCATTTGATTGCTAAGTAAAAGGTTGGCAGTTCAAACCCACCAGCCACTCCATGGAAGGAAGACTAGACAGTCTACTTCTGCAAAGATTTACTGCCTCAGAAACCCAAAGGGGGGTCTCTATGGGTCAGAATCAACTTGATGGCAGTGAGTGTTTTTTTTTTTTCCAGAAATGGTTAATGGAATAACAAATGAATATTCCAAAAAAGTCAACTTTTGAATTTTATGACTTAATTCAGGATCCCTAAGTTAAATAGAAATAAAAGTGATATTATTGTTTAGAATATTATCAGTGTCAAAGGAATACATTTTACCATTACCAATGCATTGGTTAAGGGTTACTTGAGGTTAAGTGGCATTTTTACATTCTTGTTTGGGTAGTTTAACTTTCTGAGACATTGTTTGGAGTGTGAAAATTGATCTGAAAGCTCTTTATTCATTTAAGTTTCTTTTCAGTCTCAATGCAAGACCAATATGCATAAACTTTTGCTCTGATATTACTACTGTATTTCAAGCACATAGCATACTTTTTATAAAGTATATATAGATGGCTGGCAAGAATAAAAATATTTTGTTTACTTTTATATCTTGTGAGAGTGAGTTTTAAATATATTTCAATAATATATGATCATCACTCTTTCAAATTTGAGGTAAGAGTAGTGTTTATCTTTGTCTGTTCTGTGTTTCCAACCTATTTGGAATGTTGGGACATTTTAGGACATAATATATGCATATTACATGGTTAACAATATGATGTTGAAAAATAAGCTATTTTACATATATCGATACTATTTTGAATCAACCCTAAAGTTTGTCCAACCAATTGTGCTAAAATAAAGATTCTAGAAAATATTGAAATTATCATAAACTTTATTTAAAAGCTTAAAATAATAGATGCTTTCCAAAACATGGCATGGCCTCAGGGTCAAAGAATTTGTTGTTTTTGACCATTTTAATTTGTGGCATAGCCGTGATTGATATTTTTCAGGCTTCTTCCTTTAGCCCTTAATCTAAATACCATATAGAGTTGCTCTGTCCAGTGTACTAAATCACCTGTGCCTACTGGACTCTTGAAGTGTGGCTAGTTTAAATTGAGCTGTGCTATAAATGTAAAGTAAAATATATATCAGATCTTGAAAACTTGGTACTAAAAAAAAGAACACAAGCTCATTAATAACTTTATATTTTGTACATATTGGGTTAAATAAAATATATTACTGAAATGAGTTTCACCTGTCTCTTTTTGTTTTTCATAATGTAGATGCTGCAAATGTGACTCTCATTGTGGCTCATATTTTTATTGAACAGCACAGATAGAAAGTATAGGACTGAAGTAGTTTTGCCCACCTAACTCTTACAGACTACATAATACAAATTTTCACTCTTGGCTTGCTTGATAGTTATTCAACTTTCTAATTAACTTTGCTTATTTGTGATAGTTTAGAATTTAACTGTTGAATATTTGTGCAATAATTTGATGTTGGATTTGAGTTTTTAGCAGACATGAAAACAAATATATATTTACATTTTAAATTTATGACCTTATCATTATAAATCTTAAAACCATACCGTTAGTCAGTATCATGAGGCCAACAGAGACACCAGGGTAGGAGGAATATCTACCTTCTTGTTTGTTTTCATTGGTTGGTTTGTTGAATGGTCTTAAGAAAGGCTTGAGAGAATTACATGACTAATGATTTGTTCATGTCTTCACAGAAACAAATTGTTCCCTGAATCTGTCATCAGAAATATTATGTATCAAATACTACAAGGGCTGGCTTTTATTCATAAACATGGTATGTTTTTTTAAAGACACATTTCTCTGATTGTTTAGAATATTGTCAAGATCATGCACAGGAATGGTATATAAGCTATTAATGTTATATTGGAGAACTACAAGTTTGAAAGGAGTCCTTGAGTAGCACAAATGGTTGAGCACTGGACTACTAGTCATAAAGGTTGGTGGTTTGAACCCACCCAGAGATGCTTTGGAAGTCAAGTCAGGAGATGTGCCTTCTGAAGGGTCACAACCTTGAAAACCCTATGCTCCACAGTACTACTCTGCACACACGCATTTGCCATGACTTAGAATTGACTTGACAGCAGCTAACAGCAAGAAGTTAGGAGCATGTGCCTACAAACACTGACTTTTTAATCTTAAAAATTTAGAATTTCTACAATTGGAGGAAGCTGTCTTCTTCTAAAGAAGACAATTTGAGCAGTTTGATCATTAGCCTTTAGACTCAGTCATCATAAATCCATCCTGCAACCTCATTGCCTCAATTTTATCATAGAAGTGAAAAAAAAAATTGGAGCCTTTTGGGAAAAGAATGGAATCCTTTGAATTATAAGCAATTATTAACATTTTTAACAGTTTAAAGGACCGATGGTGTGGTATTATATAATTTTCCTTAACATTTTATATTTAGTTGTTTCTATATTTTTGTGTGAAATTAAAGCAAGTGTTTGTTGTTAATTTCAATGTTTCTTATTTATAAAATTTTAATTTAAGCAGTTTTCTGCATATGTATCAAACCAGAATAATTATTAGTAAAAAAATTTATATTTTTAACAAATATTTTAGAGTCACTAGATTTTAAATATTAAATAAAAAAATTTTATGTGACACTATTGCTGCATTCTGAATTAGGAATTCCTATAGTGGTCTTTTCTCATGTTTCATTCTATATTTACTTTTCTTCTCTCCTTTAGCTGCTAGAGGAAATAATTTACCTTCTAACAATGCTTTATACAATTCCATATAGGAATTATAAGAATGTTTCTTAATCCCTGATTTTTCATTTGTCCCATATAAATGATTGAGGCTTTTTAAATTCTGAAACTAATGATAATACACTACAATCCATTGGGAAAGGCCAGTATTTTATTAATTAAAAGGAAATAAAGGATATATATTATTTTAATTGTGCATAGTTGATATAATCTGAAAACAGTTTTTAAGTTTCAGTCAATATGGTAATTCTTGATATCAGCCTGGCTGGTTTATGCTCTTAGAGGCAGATGTGATGTGGACAATCAAAAGCCTCATGAATTCTTTTTTTTTTGGGAAATAGCATTGCATTTTATTAATGTTTTTAGATTATAATTAAATAGACTCAGATCCTTTGGATATATTATCAGTTATCAGCAACTTGTAAAACATAAGGAGAAGGAAGATGTCAATTTGGGATTTAAAAAGTATATCTCAAAGCAAATAAGAATAATCGAAAGTTGACTATGTAGTTGACTCCATGTGATTTTGGGAACTAGACTTTTTACAAAAGCCAAATTATGCTTGCTGTAGATGATAGCATCTCAGATGTGATAGTCTGGAGAAAAAAACACAACAGATAATTTAATTATAGTATCTGCCAAAAGACGAGATCAGTATTTTAATTAAAATAGGACCAAATTTTTCAGTACACTTACATTATTAAACGCAGGGAAACTTCAACTATGCAAATATGTGCTAGGTTTAATTCTCTAGGATTTTATGGATTAATTGAGAGAGATAGTCATCCAGTGCCTGAGTTTACTGGATTCACAAGCATATGTTTAATAAGTCATTATTTTAATTCAATCCATGCACACTGTGTGAACTTTCTTGCCAAATTGTTTTGAAAGCAGGATCCCTACATCCCATCACTTGTTATATGGTAGACAATAAATATGGTTTATTTTCTGTTTATAAATTAAGATTTCTAATTATAATTTATTTTATTTATAAATCAAATAAAGCTATATTTAAACATGACAATTTATTCCTCTCTGTATTCTTCTTTGTATTACCAAGGTTTTTTTCATAGGGACATGAAACCAGAAAATTTGCTTTGTATGGGTCCAGAACTTGTGAAAATTGCTGATTTTGGGCTTGCACGAGAATTAAGGTCACAGCCACCGTATACTGATTATGTATCTACCAGATGGTAAGTAGCTTTATACAACTCCCCTAAGGCAGAATGCCTGTGTTAGTTTTTTTTTTTTTTTACAATGTATTGTTAGTTGTCTTTCTGGAGGTTCCAGATTGAGAATTGAAAACAAAAGATGTAACTCAATTTTGTATTCTTCAGGATGGGTTCATGACTACTCTGATTAATGAAATAAGAAAAGGAACAAAGATTTCATTTATTCATTCATTCATTCAACATATATTTATTGGACACCTACAAGGAGCCCTTGTGGTATAATGGATGAGGCATTTGGGTGCTAACCAGGTCAGCCGTTCAAACCCACCAGCTGCTCCATAGGAGAAAGATGGGGCAATCCACTTCTGTAAAAGTTTACAGCCTTGGAAACTCAATGGGGATCATTATAAGTCAGAATTGACCCAATGGCAATGAGTTTGGTTTTGGTTATTATGTGCTGGATACTGTTTTAGGTTTTGTGGACACAGCAGTGAACAAAACAGAAAAGAAGATACATGATAGATGTTGTTGTTGTTGTTATATGCCGTCGAGTCGGCCCTGACTCATAGCGACCCCTCCTTGGGTTTCCGAGGCAGTATCACTACGGAAGTAGGATTGCCCAACCTTCCTTCCGAGGAGTGGCTGGTGGGTTTGAACCGCCAGCCTTTCTGGTTAGCAGTCAAGTGCCGTAGGCACTATGCTGCCAGAGCTCCCACATGATAGTACACAAATAAATAAGTATAAATAAAACCAAACCAAGCTCACTGCCGTGGAGTCAGATCCAACTCATAGTGACCCCACCATGAGTTTCTGAGGTGGTATCACTACAGAAATAGATTACCCAACCTTCCTTCCAAGGAGTGGCGGGGGGGTTTGAACTGCCAACCTTCTGGTTACCAGTCAAATGCCATAGGCACTATGCCACCAGAGCTCCCAAATAGATAAACAGGAAAAAAAAAAAATTATATGTCACCAACAGAAATACATACACATGTTCTCCAAAAGACATGTAATAATCCCAAACTGCAAATTACTCAAATGTCCATCAACAGTAGAGTGGTATATTCATTCACTCAGCAATGAGAATGGTAGGTCTACAGCTCTTACCCAAATGTCCATCAACACTAGAGCGGTATATTCATTCACTCAGTGATGAGAATGGAAGGTCTACAGCTACATGCAGTAGTGTAGACAGATCTCCCAGATACATGTTGAAAGCAAGAAGCTAGACATAAAAAAAGTGGGCACTATATGATTCAAATTTTATAAAGGGCAAATATAGGGAAAACTAGTCTGTGCTACTCAGTCAGGATGGTGGTTACCCTTGCTGGGAGGGTAGAGATTAGAGAATGCATGAGGGGACTTCTTCGTGCTGATAACGTGCAATGTCTTGATCTGGGTGCTAGGTCCATGGGTGTGTTCTGTTGTGAAATTCACCAAACTGTACTCTTGTAGTATGTGCATTTTTCTGTATGTGTATGATATCTCAATAAAAACAAGTTAAAAAATATATCTGTCAGATAGTGGTATATTCTTTTTATTTTTTTGCTTTATAAGATTATTATATATTTTTTTAATTGTGATATGGGTGAAAGTTTCAGAGCAAAGTGATTTTCACTCAACAGTTCATACACATTTTGTTTTGTGACATTCCTCACAATCCCTACCATGTAACAGCGCTTTTCTCACTTCCTCCTTGTGTTTACCATTTCCCTTCGTCCTTCTTTCCTGTCTCTTCTTGACTTCTTAGCTTTGTACCTGGGCAAATGCTGTACTTGATCTTGTATGGTTGATTGTTCTAATGAGTGTGTTACCTCCCTGGTATTATTGTTCACCTTATAGGCCTATCATTTGACTGAAAGTTGAGTCATGGTGATTGAGTTCGGTTCGTGGCTTGAAGGGTATATAAGGGCTGTAGTCTTGGGGGTTCCACTAGTCTTCATCAGGCCAGTAAGTCTGGTCTTTTTATGCTTTTGAGTTCCACATTTTTCTCCTATTCTATCTGGGACCTCCTATTGTGATCTCTTTCAGAATGGTCAGTAGTGGTAAGATGTTGTTGTTATGTGCCATCAAGTCGGAACCGACTCATAGCAACCCTTCCTTGGGTTCCTGAGGCAGTATCATTACGAAAGTAGATTGCCCCATCTTTCTTCCGAGGATAGTGGTATGTTATTATAGATGAAAATAAAATATGGAAAAGGGACAGGGACTTGGGCAAAGTAGGGGAATGAAAAGGAAAAATGTCATATTCAATAGAGGAGGAGGGAAGAAGAGCCCTGGAAGAGATGCCTGAGCAAAGAATGGGGGATGGGGAGAGCTTTTCAAGTAGTGGAAACACTGTAAATGCCTTAATTTGGGAGCACATCAGATATGAATTCTGCAAAGGAAGAGCAGAATGAATGAGGATGGAAGTGAGAAATGTGGTTAGAGAGTTTATGAGGTGTGGTGGTTTTGTTTGTGTGTCAACTTGGCTAGACCTGGTTGAGTGGCTGGGCAGCTGGATGTAGTATTCCCCATGATGAGACTGGCAATCAACTCCATGGTGGAATCTACTGGGAGCAGCTGAGTAGCTGCCTTTGCGTATGTGGTCTGCTTCCTGTACATAAGGAGAAACTTTGAGAATGGTCTCTAGCCTATGGCATGCTTGGACCCTGCATGTAGTCGTGTTGTTGCTCAGCAGCCTGCTATGCTCTGCCAACCTTGGGACTTATAATGGACCTAAGTTAATGGCCTGCTGTGTGGTTTGGTAACATTGGGACTGTGCCTTTTGACTTGTCAACCTTGGGGCTTCTCAGTCTCAGCAGCCAGCAGCTGTCTGAGTGAAGAAACGCCTCTAGCTCCAGTGGGCCAGGAGCAGGAGGCAGAGCTGGATCCCAAAGTTGAGGGGCTTTCACCCAGTCCCTAGAACTTGGCACTTTGAACTTGGACTTAAAGCCTCCAAATTGTAAGAATAAACTCCTGTTTGTTAAGGCCATCCCATTTGTGGTATATTTCCTGTCAGAGCGGCACTAGGTAACCAGAACATGAGGTGGCCAGGATATGCACAGCCTTGTAAGCCTTTTTATCCTGAAGGAAATGGCCAGCCATTAGCAGGTATTGAGAGGAGGTATGACATGATCTGTCTAATGTTTAAAAGTATCTTTTTTTCTGGCTGTGATGTTGTCAATAAAGTTTAAAGAAGCAAGGGCAGAAGCAAGGAGACCAGGTAGGAGGCTAGTACAGTAATTCAGGCAGGAAATGATAGTGACTCATTTATATATATATATATAAATTTATATTTATATATATATAAAATTTTGTTGTGATTTGGATGAAAGTTTACAGAGCAAATTCATCTTCCATACAGCAGTTCACATACACCTTGTCTCATGACATTGACTATCTCTCATAATGCAACAGCTCCCCTCTCTATTCCTCCCCATAGCCACCTCTTCCCTGTGTCTTTCCCTCCCATGCACTTCTGCCCCCTGAACTGTCTCTGTGCATACACAGCTCTTCTATTCTCCCATGATTTATTTCTTCAAGGGGAGTGTATCTACCTAATGTAAATGTTCAGCTCATATGCCTATCTTTTGTTTGGCTAGAAGCCACAGGAGTGGGTTCGATTCCAGACCTGAAGGGCAGTTAGGGGCCATAGTCTCAGTGCTACTAATAGGCTCAATCAGACCAGCAAACCTGGTCCCCTTTTCCTTTTTTTTCTATGATTTTGAATTTTGTTCCACATTTTTACTCCCACTCTATCCAGGATCTCCTACATAGATCCCCCCTGAGTGGTTGATGGTGGTAGCTGGCACCATCTAGTTCTTCTGGTCTCATAGTCGTAGAGGTGGAGGATCGTGTGGTGTACCAGTTCTGGACATATTTTTAAGGAAGTGTAAACATGAGTTCCTGATGAATCAGATGTGAGATGTGAAAGAAAGAAAGGAGTCAAGGGCTCCAAGGGTTTTGTCCTGACCAACTGAAGAATGGAGTCATCATTAATGGAGATGAGGAGACTGTAGGGGGAGCTATTTGGAGAAAAGAGCTGTTCTTTTTTGGATCAAGTGAGATGTCTGTAAGACACGTACATGGAGATGTCAACGTGGGCAATTGTATGGTTCTGGAGTCCAGGTGAAAAGTTTTGGCTGAGTTGGAAATGTGGGACACCTTGGCATTAGAAACCAAGAGATTGGATGAGATCACTGAGTAGAGTGAATGTCCTTTGAGAAGAGAAGAGAAGAGATCTGTCTGTATGTCCCAGTTTATCTCCAAGCCAGGCTCACTGGCATCGAGTCAATTCTGACTCATAGTGACCCCCTTTGGGTTTCCAAGGTGATAAATCTTTATGGAAATAGATTGTCCCATCTGCCTTCTATGGAACGGCTGGTGGGTTTGAACCTCCAATCTTCTGGTTAGTGGTCAAATGCCTTAGGCACTATGCCACCAGAGCTCCTTTCCATTTACCTGTTGTTGTTGTTGTTGTTCTTATGTGCCATTGAGTCGGACCCAACTCATAGCGACCCCTCCTTGGGTTGCCGAGGCAGTATCACTACGGAAGTAGATTGCCCAACACTCTGGTGGAATAGTGCCTAAGGCATTTGACTGCTAACCAGAAGGCTGGCGGTTCAAACCCACCAATCACTCCTTGGAAAGACGACTGGGCAATCTACTTCCTTAGATATACTGTCTTGGAAACCCAAGGAGGGGTTACGATGAGTTGGATCCAACTCAGTGGTTCCATTTACCTAGGATAGTATAAATTGATGCCTGTTGGCCTAGCATCCTATCTAGCTTAGCACTTATCCTGGGCTTTTCATTTTTGATTGAAACATTTCTATTAATAATTTAATTAAAATAAGTCAATATGCCTTTGAAGGACCTCCCTGGTGTGCCTCCCGCTTCCTCTATGGTCTTACCTGTAGTGTTAAGAGACATGAGAACAGGGAAAATGAAGCTTGGAAACAAGACCCTGAAATTTATCTGTACAAAAGCAAGGAAGGAAATGAACATATTATAAGAATTCAAGTGGTGTACCATATTTTTGTAAAAAAAAGTATAATTCGATTTTGGGAAATTTTGTCTTACAGGAAGAATTTTTAAGTAATTTCTACTTGGTAAATTTAGGTTCTATACTGGAATGGAATGAAATTAAAGAGACCTTCTGTGATTGACTTATTTCACTCAACATAATGTCCTCCAAGTTCATCCATGTTATACAGTGTTTTGCAGACTCTACATTATTCTTTAGTGCTGCATAGCATTCCATTGTGTGTATGCACCATAGTTTGGTCATCCACTCTTCTGTGGATGGGCACATGGGTTGTTTCCATCTTTTTGCTATTGTAAATAGTGCTGAGGTGAACATGGATGTGCATATATCTGTTCCTGTCCTGGCTCTGACCTCATAGGATATATACCTAGTAATGGAATTGCTGGGCCAAATGGTATCTTCAATTCCAGCTTTCTAAGGAATCACCATATTGCTTTCCATAGTGGATGTATCACTTCACAGTCCCACCAGCAGTGCATGAGAGTCCCAATCTCTCCACATCCTCACTAGCATTTGTTATTTTCTGTCTTGTTGAACCTTGCCATCAGTGCTGGGGTGAGATAGTATCTCATTGTTGTTTGGATTTGCATCTCTCTGATGGCCAGTGATCGTGAGCATCTCTTTATGTATTAGCTGGCCACCTGAATATCCTCCTTGGTGAAGTGTCTATTCATGTCTTCTGCCCATTTTCCGGTTGGATTGTTTTTCCTTTGCTGTTGAGGTGTTGGAGTTTTCTATAAATCTTGGAGATAAGTCCCTTGCCACATATGTAATTATTGGCTAATATGATTTTGTTGCTGTCATTTTTGTTATGTGCTTTTTCATGGTGCTCATTTTGTTTATGAATCGTGTTATCACTTCCTTTGCTGCTATTATTTTAGTATTTGCTAAATATTTGTGTTGGTCCTCTTTTTTTATTTTGATGTGAAGGTTTATCATTTTTCTTGAGGTTACCCTGTGATTTATAGTTTTCTTCCCAAGTTTAGAACAGTTCCTTCTATCTTGCAATTGTCTTTACTTCCTCACCATTTGGAAATTCTGTAACTACACAGTTTTTTCCATCTTTTTGGTTTTAGTTGTCCTCATTTGTCAATTGATGCCTCTGGTTCCCTGTTTACAATCTTGTAGGCTTATTTACTTTGGATACTTCCATAGCTGGGTTTGTGTCTGTGTTATGTCATCCTGTGTGTTAATGGTCAGTTGTTGTTTGCTACTGTTGGTTCTCTGTCCAAAGGACACCCTTTTAGCATCTGTCATATGGTTGGTCTGGTTTTAACAAATTCCCTTAATTTCTGCTTATCCTAATTTCACCATCATATTTTGAGGGACTATTTTGCTGGGAAACTCAAGCACACCCAAAGCAGCAGGGTGGGAGAGCGGGAGAAAGGGGATTAAAAATTCAAAAACAGTTGCAGCAGTATATTGACAGAGAATTTTCAGAGGTACAAGCTGGATTCAGAAGAGGACGTGGAACAAGGGGTATCATAGCTGTTGTCAGATGGATCTTGGCTCAAGGCAAAGAATACCAGAAAGATGTTTACTTGTGTTTTATTGACTATGCAAAGGCATTTGATTGTGTGGATCATGACAAATTATGGATAACATTGAGAAGAATGGGAATTTCTGAACACTTGATTGTACTCATGAGGAATCTGTACCTTGACCAGGAGGCTGCCATTCGAATGGAACAAGGGGACACTACATGGTTTAAAATCAGGAAGGGAATGTGTCAGGGTTGTGTCCTTTCCCCATACTTATTCAATCCATATGTTGAACAAATAATCCGAGAAGCTGGACTATATGAAGAAAAACGTGGCATCAGGATTGGAGGAAGAATCATTAACAACCTGAGATACGCAGACGATACAACTTTGCTTGCTGAAAGTGAGGATGACTTGAGGCACCTACTGATGAAGGTTGAAGAATACAGTCTGCAGTATGGATTACATCTCAATATAAAGAAAACAAAAATCCTCACAACTGGACCAATGAGCAGCATCACAATAAATGGAGAGAAGATTGAGGTTGTCAAAGAATTCACGTTGCTTTGTTCTACAATCGATGCCAATGGAAGCAGCAGTCAGGACATTAGACAACGTGTAGCATTGGGAAAGTCAACTGCAAAGGAACTGTTTCAAGTGCAGAGGAGCAAGGATGTCTCCTTGGAGACTAAGGTGCACCTGACATAAGCCATGATATTTCCAATCACCTCGTATGCATGTGAGAGCTGGACAGTGTATAAGGAAGACTGAAGAAGAGTTGATGCTTTTGAGTTGTGGTGCTGGCGAAGAGTACTGAAAGTACCATGGACTGTTAGAAGAACTAACAGATCTGTCCTGAAGGAAGTGCACCAGAAATGCTCCTTGGAAATGAATATGGCCAGACTTTGTCTCACCTATTTTGGTCATGTTGTCAGAAGGGACCATTCCCTGGAGAAGGATGTCATGCTTGGGTGGGTGGAGGGTCAACAAAGGAGGAGGAGAGGTCTTCAACGAGATGGATTGACACAGTGGCTGCAATGATGGGCTCACATATAGCACGGATTGTGGATCTGGTGTGGGATCAGGCACTGTTTCTTTCTGCTGTGCATGGGGTCGCTATGAGTGAGAAACAACTCGACGGCACCTAACAACAATAACAACATTTTCTGGGTATATAATTATTGGTTGGAAATTTTTATCTTTCAGGGTTTTATATGTACCATCCCATTGTCTTCTCACCTGCATGGCTTCTGCCGAGAAATCTAAGCTTAGTCTTATTGGTGGCCCCTTGTAGGTAACTTTTGGTTTTTCCTGTGCTGCTTTCATGATTCTTTGTCATTGGTTTTGGTGAGTTTGATAATGACATGTCTTGGTGATTTTCTTTTGGGGTCTATCCTGTTTGGGGTTCGTTGGACTTCCTGAATGGATATATTCTCATCTTTCATCATACCAGGAAAATCCTCTTCCAACAAATCTTTGACAATTTTCTCTATGGTTTTATTTGTCTCTTACTGTTCGATGATATCACACATGAACCTTAGGCTTTCTTTGTTTTGTTTGTATCTTTTTTCTGATTGATCCTTTTCAAAGAAGTATTCAGGTATTTGCCTTCAGTCTCCCTAATTCTGTCTTTCATTGATTCAGTTCTGCTCCTTTGCCTCTTCAATGTTTTATCTATTTCTGAAAATTTAGTATTAATCATCTGCATTTTTGTGTGTATATTTTGTATCATTTCTAATTTTTCATTTATTTTATCATTTTGTTCTTGTATTGTCTTTTGAAATTGTTGTAGGGTTTTCTCTGTGTTTTCCTCAATCTGCCTCTCAATTCATTGAAGATACCTAAATATAATTCCTTTAAATTCCTTATCAGGGAGTTCTAATGCTGCATCTTCCTCAGGGATGTGTTTTGGTTCTGTATCCTGGTCTCTTGTTTCTCCTGCTTTATCTCGCTTCTTTGTGTGGACTGTGATGCTCTGTTGTCTCTGAAGCATTGTGACGTTTTTGTGTTTATGTTTAATTGGTGATTATATGTTTGAGTTACTTGCCCACGATTTTCATTTTGTTTTGTTTGTATGTTATCTGTGTAAGCAGGGTACTGTGCTGTATTCCTCTATTCATTAGTTGACAACATTTATACACTCATCACCTGTCTCCTCTCCTGTTGTCAGCCTCTCGTATGTCCCTGCCATCCTTGGCAAATAGCCTATTCTTATTGTTGTTGTTGTTGTTGTTATGTGCTGTTGAGTTGGCCCCGACTCATACCAACCCCTCCTTGGGTTTCTGAGGCAGTATCATTACAGAAGTAGATTGCCCAACCTTCCTTCCGAGGAGTGGGTGGTGGGTTTGAACCGCCAGCCTTCTGGTTAGTGATAAAGTGCCTTAGGCACTATGGTACCAGAGGCCCCTGGAATCCGGATGAGAATGCTGTCACTTTAAAATCCAAAATGGCTGTCACTTGTAAAGATTCAAAATGGCTACACCCTCAGTCACTTTAAATATCCAAAATGGTTGTGCTCTGAGGACTGTGGAAAGTCCACAGCCCAAGTTGTCTCCCTCCTTGCTGTTTCCTTTCTAGTCAAAGGCCACCAGTGCAGTTGTCCCTGCAGCCCTTGGTGACCAGGGCTAATCTTTAGGTCAATTCTCAGGTCCCAGCACCACTTGGAATTATTCAGGCTGTTGGTCCCATCAGAGTGGCTGATAGTCCTCAGCTCTGACTGTTTCCATACTCACTGTTTTCGTTCAGGTTTTTCCACTAGTTGGTGCCTAATCTACTTCTGTATAGTTCATTTCATAGCTCCAGGATTCTCTTCTGTATCTCTGTCAATTGGTTTCTCTTTTCTTTGTTGATGAGGGTCTGTATTGTTTGTCTGCCTATTCCTCCATCTTACCGGAAGTCGCCAACCCACTTTTGAAGCCACAATAAAAATAGCCCATTTTGTTTTGTTTTCTATTGTCATAGGTATCGTGCTCCTGAAGTTTTACTGAGATCTTCAGTTTATAGCTCTCCCATTGATGTGTGGGCTGTTGGGAGTATAATGGCTGAACTATATACATTACGACCACTTTTCCCAGGGACAAGTGAAGTTGATGAAATCTTTAAAATTTGCCAAGTTTTAGGGACTCCCAAAAAGGTAAGTACCCTCACCCTTAATTTTTTTTTTAATTTATTGTGATTTGGGTGAAAGTTTACAGACCAAATTCATCTTCCATATAGCAGTTCACATATACTTTGTCTCATGACATTGACTGTAGTCTCCCCCAATGCAGCAGCTCTCCTCCCACTTCCTCCCCATTGCCACCTCTTTCCTATGTCCTTCCCTCCCATGCACTCCTGCCCCCTGAACTGTCTCCCTGTGCATACATAGCCCTTCAAATCTCCCATGATCCATCTCGCCAAGGAGTGTACCTAATGTAAATGTTCAGCTCATGTACTTGCCTTTTGTGTGGCCAGAAGCCTCAGGAGTGGGCTCAATTCCAGACCTGAAGGGCAGCTAGGGACCATAGTCTCAGGGGTTCCATCAGGGTCTGTCAGACCAGCAAACATCGTCCCTTTTTTTTTTCTCTGTGATTTTGAGTTTTGTTCCACATTATTCTCCCATTCTATCCAGGATCTCCTACATAGATTCCCCCCTCTCAGTGGTTGACCGTAGTAGCCAGGCACCATCTAGTTCTTCTAGTCTCATAGTCGTATAGGCTGAGGATTGCATGGTGTACCAGTCCCTTGGACTAATTGTTTTCACAAATCTTTGGTTTTCTTCATTCTTCTTTGCTTTGTTTTAAATATCTTTTGAGTATTTGTAAGTTGCTAATTTAATTTTAATTATGTAACTTTGCCTTGATGTTTGGTATTTTCATTTTCAAAAAGACTTATGCTTTAATGGGTAATTTTTTTATAATCCTTATTTTTTAACAGAGTCAGGTAAGGATCATAAGAACTAGAATTGCACCAGACTGAAGAAAAGGGGTTTTTGTCTTTCTTTAACAACTTAAAGAAAAAGTCTATACATTTAGAGTATAACTTTGAGTAGATTGGTGATCTGTGCTACACATAGACAGTCTTGTTTAGGCCCCTTCCTATTTGCTCAGGGCTTGGCCATTGGCATCTCATTAATCCCAGGTGTCCTGGACCTTATTTTCTTTCAACTGTTTCTTGTTTCTTTTATATACCTCTGCTGTTGTTATTTGATTCTTTGAACCTTGAATACTTTTCAGTTTACTATTACATTTCAGCGAGACCTTATTTTCTGAAGTGTTTTCTCATTTTTTCTCTGTGAATAATATATTGTTTGCTAATTTAGCCTCACATCTATTTTTATAAGAATCACCATTTAAATTTTTGCACTTGAGTAATTTTTACATTATTGGTATGCTTTAAAAAAACAATTGCTTTTTTATTTTGCCCCTTCCACCCCGACTTATATATTTCTTATGCAGAGTGACTGGCCAGAGGGGTACCAGCTTGCATCCTCTATGAGTTTCCGCTTTCCCCAGTGTGTTCCTATTAACTTAAAAACCCTCATTCCCAATGCCAGTAATGAAGCTATTCAGCTGATGACTGAAATGTTAAATTGGGACCCAAAGAAACGACCAACAGCAAGTCAGGTAAGACAGTCTCCCTGTACTACCTCTTTAAAGTAACATAATTTTAACTATTTGTATTTAAATATTTTATTCAACATGGATTCCATGTGTCTTCATAGAAGGACTGAGCATATGCAAATTGTAAAACTTTGTAAGTTCTGAGGTTTGCTCTAAAGCCCTAAAGCATCCAATGTATGTCATAAATTTTTAATTTTATACCATTTTGGGGAGAATTACAAACATTTTCACTCCAAAGGCTTTCTGTGTTACTAGTTCAATGAAGAATTCTGGTTGAGAAAGGCTTAATTGGATCAGTCATGAATGATAAAAATCCAGGCATTATAACAGGGTAGTTAGGAAGAAATTTGCCATGAGTACCAAAAAAAGCATCTCTTAAATTCTACAGCATAGTAGACCTTTCTGTGTTATCCTTAATGGTTCAGGGGTGAAATACTTGATCTTTCATCCTTCCATTTTGTTGTTAGTTGCTGTTGAGTCAGTTCCAATTCACGGTACCCCATGTATGCAGAGTGGAACTGCTCCATGGTGTTTACAGGGCTGTGATCTTTTGGAAGCAATTTGCCAAGCCTGTCTTCTGGGGTGCTTCTGTGTGGGTTTGAACAGCCGACCTTTCAGCTAGTACTCAAGTGCTTAAATGTTAGCACTATGCAGAGACTCCTTCATTCCTCCAAAGGCTTAGTCTCAGGCTCCCACAAGAGGGCAGCATTGTCACCCATTGCAACTCTACATGTACAGATGTATTTAAAGTCTCTTGGTCTTTGAAAAGGAGCTCTGATGGCATAGTGCTTAAGACACTTGACTGTTAACCAGAAGGATGGCATTTCAAACCCACCAGTCACTCCTTGGAAGGAAGGTTGGGCAATCTACTTCCATAGTGATACTGCCTTGGAAACCCAAGGAGGGGTAGCTATAAGTCAGATCCAACTCAATGGCAGTAAGGTTTGAGGGGGGTCTTTGAAATGTCATGAGACTACACAAAACCCTTAAATTAAAACATAATATCAGACTATTGTACTCTTACTATTATTTAAGTATAAATTTGATATGAAAATTTAAAACAATAAATTCTGTTTTTACTTGAGAAAGTTTTTCTAAAAGTCATCTGGAAGAACAAATGGGAAAAAATAGTCAACATGTGTTTGAAAATTCCTCAGTTATAATTCAGGGCATATATGAAAAGCCAACAGCCAACATTATACTTGATGGAGAAATACTGAGAGATTTCCCCTTGAAATCAGGAACAAAACAAGGGTGCCTGCTCTCACCACTTCTATTCAATACTGTGTTACAAGTCCTAGCCTAGTCAAAGTGGTAAGAAAGAATAAGAAACAAAAGGTATAGATTAGAAAAGAAGAAATAAAATTATCTCTTTTCACAGATGATAAGATCCTATATATAGAAAACCTCAAAGAGTCCACAAGAAAACCTGTAGAGCTAATGGAAGAATTTAGCAAAGTTGCAGGATACAAAGTCAACAAACCAAATTCAGTTGGGTTTCTATGCATAATTTCTACACATCAGCAATTAGAAGTCTGAAAGGGAAATTAGGAAACAGTTCTATTTCTGCTTCAGACAATAAAAACAGGATACTCTTTTTAAAAAAATAGTTTAGCTTAACTAGTTAAAAAAAAAAAGCCTGCCTTGAGTGTTAATGCTCTTTTAAGAACTACCTATACGAGATCAAATTGACAACAGCAAATTGAATGTTTAGGTAGGAACCAAGGCTTCATCCATGCTTGAAATGGTTCAGCCATGGTCCCTGGAGCACACATACTACACTGCAGTCAAATCTGTTGACGTGAGATTTTGACTTGAGTAGGAAATAGGCAGTGATGCCCCACTAAAGATGACAGCCAGCACACATTGAAAACAGCATGGTCAGCTGCCATCTTTGAGCAGGGCACTATTGCCAATTTCCTACTCATGTCAAAATCCTATGTGCAAGAGATTTGATTGCTATGCAACTTGTATGTTCCATAGGCCATGACTGAACCTTTTCAAACTGGTTTGAAGCCATAATAAGAACCTTAGGGAGCTGTGAATTTATGTTAATAAGGAAAGAACAACTCAGAAAAGAAGGAGGAGAATGGTTGCACAACTAAAAGAATAATTGATGTCACTAAATTGTACGTGTAGAAACTGTTAAATTGGTATGTTTTGTGTATATAGTCTCAACGAAAAGAAAAAAAGAAAAAAAAGACATATTTGAGCAAGAATAAGTAATTGGAAGGCAGTAGTAGCGGTGGGCAGCTTGCCCTATCAGATACTAAAATAATCTATGAAGTGATAATAATTACAATAGTGAAGGTACTGGGACTGGCAAATAGGCATAAGGCATACATAACATTAAAAATCAGGAGGGAGGGGAAGAACTGTTAGAGAGTGATGCTGGGACAATGATTTAACTCTTAGAGGAAAAGTATATTTAGATTTTTTTTTAAATTGTGATTTGGGTGAAAGTCTACAGAGCACATTCACTTTTCATACAGCAGCTCACATACACTTTGTCTCATGATGTTGACTGCAAATTTCCACAATGCAAATTTCCACAACTGCTCTCCTCCCACTTCCTCCCCATAGTCACCTCTTCCCTGTACTCTTCCCTCCCATGTACTCCTGCCCCCCAAGCTGTCTCCCTGTACATACACAGACCTTCTATTCTCCCGTGATTGATCTCTCCAAAGAGTGTATCTACCTGATGTAAATGTTTAGCTCTTGTGCCTATCTTTTGTTTGGCTGGAAGCCACGGGAGTGGGTTCAATTCCAGATCTGAAGGGCAGCTAAGGGCCATAGTCTCAGTGGTTCCACCAGGCTCTATCAGACCAGCAAACCTGGTCCTTTTTGTTCCCCCCAGTGGTAAATTTAGATTCTCATCTCTTATCATACTTTACAAACAAATCACAGAAGTATTAAATGAAGTATAAAAAACAAAAACACTAAACTATTAAAAACTAAAGAAAGCATAAACCAAAAACCAAACCAAACTCACTGCTGTTGAGTCAAACCCGACTCTTAGCGACCTTTCCTTGGGTTTCCAAGGTGATATTACTACAGAAGTAGATTGCCCACCTTCCTTCTGAGGAGTGGCTGGTGGGTTTCAACCACCGACCTTAAGGTTAGCACCTAGTTAGCAGTCAAATGCCTTAGGCACTATGCCACCAGAGCTCCCAAAGACAGCATAAGTGGGTGTTTATTCTCAAAGTAATAAAGAGATGGGTATGAAAGCAGTAGAAGAGACAGCAAAGGGAAATCTCAAAAGAAGATTTGAACACATAAAAATTAAAATTTTTCTTTATATAAAAATCTTAACATTGAAAAACAAAAGAGTGGAAAGTATTTTCAACAAATATTCAGTGTGAACATCCTCAATGTAAGGGTCCTAGAAAAACAAGGAAAATACTGAAATATTTATCTATATTTCCTAATTTTTTAAACATATATTTACTTCTATAATAACCTTTTAATGAAAGTTTGTAAAATTTATGTTAAAAAATGTGCATGAGGCATGAAAAATATCACAGAAAAGAAATACAAATTACTAACAGCATTTAGTAATGTGTTTAGTCTCATAAAATGCAAGTAAAAAAGTGAAAACATTTTTCCCCTATCAAATTTGCAGAAATGAAATTGTTTAAAGGCTATTTTTCTCATAGTAAGTGAAACAAATTTGCAATACATAAAAATAACCTTAAAAACAAGCAGAAATTTAGATAAAGATGTTCAGTGCCAATTTAAAACTGCACTTTGAAATTATAAACTAAATGTTTTCAATGATAAAGTATGTGCATTTTTAATATGGAATATTTTGTTACTGTTAAAAATAAAATAAAAAAAAAACTAATAATGTGGGAGAATTTTTATGTTCAAATGATAAGTTTAAAAAGAAAGCTGTATTTTATGGCTCGGAAGGAAGATTGGGCAATCTGCTTCTGTAGTGATACCTTCTCGGAAACCCAAGGAGAGGTCTCTAGGAGTCAGCTCCCACTCCATGGCAGTGCGTTTTTTTTTTTTAATTTTATTTTAATATATATACATTGTATGACTAGAAAAAAAAAATACTGAAAAAAATATTTAGTTTGGATTATAAGTGATTTCTATTTTTTACCTGAGGACTTTCTATACCTTCCTTATCCTCTACAATGATCACGTATTCCCTTAATAAACAGGGAAAAATATTTTAAAATATTTTCCTTTTCAAGGATGGTAGCTGGTATCATAAAAGGAGAAGAGTTATTAGAATTGAAGCCTCAAAATTCCAAAACACTTTCATAAAGATTTCAGTTCCAAAATATGCATTATTAATTTAAGAGTGTTGATACACTAGTTAATTATTGTTATTTGCTGACAAGTCAGTTCTGACTCTTGGTGACTCCATGTGTATTAGAGTAAAACTGTGCTCCATCGGGTTTTCAAGGGCTGATACTTAGGAAGTAGATCATCAGACCTTCTACCAATGTGCCTCACTTCCGAGGAGTGGCTGGTGGGTTTGAGCTGCCAGCCTTCTGGTTAGCAGTCAAGTGCCTTAGGCACTGTGCCACCAGAGCTCCTAATGTATGTATATATTCTTTAAATAATATACATATAAAATACAGCTTTCTTTTTAAACTTAGCATTTGAACACAAAAATTCTCCCATGTTACTAGTTTATTTTTTAAAATAAACTCCAGCCTTTTGGTGGCCAGCTGAGTGTCTTAACCATTGCACCATCCAGGGACTCCCATTAAATAATTAATATGACATAATTCAGAATTTGTTAAGGAGCTTTGGTGGTGCGGTGCCTAAGACATTTGACTGCTAACCAGAAGGATGGTGGTTCAAACCCACCAGCCGTTCCATGGAAGGGGGATGGGGCAATCTACTTCCATAAAGATTTACCACCCTGGAAGCCCAAAGGAGGTCGCTATGAGTTGGAATCAACTCGATGGCAGTAAGTTAGGTTTTTTTTGAATTCAGAATATGAGTTCCACCTATGTGCCAGGTACCAATGTTTTTAAAGTATCTGCATTTGTTATGTTCCACTTGGGAAGTCATTAGTGGTTCAGTGGTACTATTCTTCCCTTCCATATGAGAGACCTAGATTCGATTCCCAGCCAGCGCACCTCATGCACAGCCACCGCCATCTATCAGTAGAGGCTTGCATGCTGTTATGATGCTGAACAGGTTTCAGTGGCCACTCCAGACTTAAGACACACTAGGAAGAAAAACCTGGTGATCTAGTTCTAAAAATCAGCCAATAAAAACCTCGTAGATCATAACAATCCATTATGCCACCAATCACAGGGATGATGTAGGACCAGGCAGCATTTCATTCCAATAGGGTCCCAATGAGTGGAGGCAAACTCAGTGACAGCTAACAGCAACAGCATATACACATCAATTATAGCAGGGAACAAGTTAGAATAAAACTTTTCACTTCTCCAAAATAGATCTTACTGACCTCTCACCCAGCCCTTAGTGTCTGTCTTGTCCCCTTTCTCTCAAAGCATTGCTCTGTAATGGAAGTGGGAAACCCAGCTAGGGGAGAGAAAAGTTAGAGGATACAAGGACCATGTATAGTACTGAGCTAGCTCTGGTAGCGTAGTACCAAAGGCACTTGACTGCTAACCAGAAGGCTGGTGGTTCAAATCCACCAGCCACTCCTCGGAAGGAAGGTTGGGCAATCTACTTCCATAGTGATACTGCCTTGGAAACCCAAGGAGGGGTCACTATGAGTTGGGTCCGACTCGACGGCACATAACAACAACAGCAACAACAACAACAACAACAACAACAACAGTACAGAGCTGTCTTCTGTCCCTTTAAACATGCCCCTTAGATATCTGAGCAGAAGTTGACTATTAGTCAAAGCCATACTCACCCAGGTGAAGAACTCACACTGCTCAGGGCAGGAGGTGCTAGAGAATGAGACTTGGCTATTTAAGGAGCCCTCCCCCTCAAAAAAGAGCCAAGAGGCAGCAGAGCTAGGAACTACTTTCTTCATCTAGGCCGATAAAAGGAGTTTTTCCACAATTGTATAGCAGGCTTCAGACACTGTTTCGACTATGTTTTCACATCCTTGCATTACTCATAATTTTGAGCAGAAAGTTCTCTGTTCTGGGGGCTGCCATCCCCTCTGTCATGACAACTATAAAAATGTCAGCAGCTGTGGCCAAACATCCCCACTGGTGTCAATAGACTGTGTTATCCACACAGTCATTGGTGGCCTTTCCCCCCAAGTAATAGGAGCAGTTGAGCTTACTTTATACTCAAACATGGATAATATTTATTGGTATTTTTCTATTTTGTTCCCATAAATTTCTTCTTTTTGCTGATATATTGATAAAATCTGTAACATATATGTTTGACTCTTCTTTCTTAGAATTCTATAGTTGCTGGTAGGTATGTTATATTCAGGCTAAGAGAAGGCCTGAATTTTATGTAAAGCCGTACTCAGTCATTTAATACTGGCATACCTCATTTTATTGTGCTTTGCTTTATTGCACTTAACAAGTAATGCATTTTTCATAAACTGAAGCGTTATTGTAACCCTGCATCAAGCAAGCCTATTGGTGCCATTTTTCCAACAGCATGTGCTCACTTCATGTTTCTGGGTCGCATTTTGGTGATTCTCACAATATTTCAAACTTTTTCATAATGCTATCACACACTTGATAGAATAATAATAAAAAAAAACCTCACTGTCATCCAGTCAGTTCTGACTCATAGTGACCCCCACTGGGTTTCTAAGGTGGTACATCTTTATAGAAGTAGATTGCCCCATCTTCCTTCCATGTTGCAGGTGGTGGCTTTGAACCACCAACCTTCTGGTTAGCAGTCAAATGCCTTTGGCACTGAGCCACCAGAGCTTCTTTGGTAGAATACAGTATAACTCTTACATGCACTAGGAAACCAAAAAATTCATGTGACTCACTTTATCCAATATTCATTTTATTGTGGTAGTTCATGGTGGTGTGGAACTGAACCTGCCATATCTCCAAGGTTGCCTGTAAGCTATGTGGAAGGTTTTCTTAACTTATTTCTTAGTGGCCTTGGATGGATTTTAAATAATTATCAGTATCTAGCACTTTAGTTTGAATTAATCACATCGAATTTATCCAATGTTTAAAATTTTGTTTTCATATAAAATCTTTAAATAAATAGGACAATTACTTTTTCTGGGTATTAATATTATAAGTGAATTTTACATTCTTCTTGTTTGTACTTTTCAATTTTAAAAAATGAAGTGTTTCTCAAATCTTTCTTTTTTCTGACTTTTAAAGAATTATTACACAGAGGAAAAATTGATACTTACAAAATCTTAGCTTATCTGAGCTTGCCTAGATTAGTGGTATATGTCTAACTGGAACCATTTTTCATTTGTTGTTGTTTCCAAACTTTTATAGGCATTGAAACACCCATATTTCCAAGTTGGACAAGTATTAGGTGCCTCTTCACATCATCTGGAATCAAAACAGCCTTTAAATAACCAGCTACAACCAAAAGAATCGAAGTCATCTTTAACTGAACTAGAACCTAAGCCTCTCCAAGACATAATTGATCAGACTGCCGGACAGCCCCAGCTCCAAAATAGCCATCAACCACTGCAGTCCATTCAGCCGCCTCAGAATGTGAGTGTCCAACAGCCTCCAAAGCAACAGAGTCAACAGAAACCGCCACAAACAATGTTTCCAAGTATTTTCAAAAACATGCCAACTGTAAGTTGCCAATAGTGGCATTTTAAATGAAATAGCTTGATGAGTTCAATTAGGATTCTATTTCTAGGCATTTCTAAAACTATTGGGGAAGATTGAAAAGATTATTCTGTGTTAAAGCCCTTGCTTCCTCCATAGGAACTTGACATGAAATAACTTAAAATTCTAATACAGTTTATAAAAAGAAAACCTGTTAGAATAAAAGTAGTAAGCTTAAAATTTGTGTTCTACAAAATTTCTTTAATTGTTACTTAAATGCAAAGGAATTCAAAGAGAGAATGGAAGAGTTTGGTACTCAAGAATGAAAGAAAACCATTGTGTCAAGTTGATTAGGACTCATAGCGACCCTATGTGGCAGAGTAGAACTGCCCCCTTAGGTTTCCAGGACTAGGTTTACAGAAGCACATTCCTAGGTCTTTTCTCCAATGGAGCCTCTGATGGGTTTGAATTGCTGGCCTCTCAGTTAGCAGCTGAATGTTTAACCATTACTCCACTGGGGCGCTTTCTACTGAAGAATACTGATCCTAAATTGGAGAGCTATTAATAGTTATTTTATACTGTTTTAAATGCTAATGTTAGAACAGGTTTATTACATGTCAGGCTAAGTATAAAACTTCCTCCTTGCCTCCTTTGTTCAGTTCAGAGAGCTCATTACACCCCATAGTTATAGCTGTGTACTCCCAAACATACCTGCATTTTGGCATATTAAGAATGAAAGAGACCTTAAAGAATACTATATCTAACTCCCCAGCCAGTCCCCATTCCACATTAATATTTCACGTAAGTAAAATCTTCCTGAAGTTAATTCAAAAACAGTTACAGCAGCATATTGACAGAGAACTTCCAGAAATGCAAGCTAGATGCAAAAGAGAACATGGAACAAGGGATATCATTGCTGATGTCAGATGGATCTTGACTCAAAGTGAAGAATACCAGAAAGATGTATACTTGTGCTTTATTCACTATGCAAAAGCATTCAACTGTATGGATCATAACAAATTATGGATAACATTGAGATGAATTCCAGAACACTTAATTGTATTCATGACGCACCTGTACATCGACCAGGAGGCTGTTGCTCAAACAGAACAGGGGATACTGCATGATTTAAAATCAGGAAAGGAGCATGTAAGGGTTATATCCTTTTACCATACTTACTCAGTCTGTATGCTGAGCAAGTAATCCAAGAAGCTGGACTATATGAAGAAGAACATGGTATCAGGACTGGGGAAGACTCATTAACAACCTACAATACACTGACAACACAATTTTGCTTCCTAAAAGTGAGAATGACTTGAAGTACTTACTGATAAAGATTGAAGAGTACAGTCTGCAGTATGGATTAAACTTCAATATAAAGAAAACAAAAATCCTCACAATTGGACCAATAAACAGCATCAAAATAAATGGAGAAAAGGTTGAAGTTTTCAAAACCCACCCACTGCTGTAGAGTCAGATCCAACTCATAGCGACCCTTCCTTGGGTTTCCAAGGCAGCATCACTATGGAAGTAGATTGCCCAACCTTCCTTCTGAGGAGTGGCTGGTGGGTTTGAACCGTCAGCTTTCTGGTTAGCAGTCAAATGCTTTAGTCACTATGCCACCACAGCTCCCTGAAGTTGTCAAAGACTTCATATTACTTGGATCTACAGTCAACACCAATGGAAGCAGCAGTCAAGATATCAGACAAAGAACAGCATTGGGGAAATCTGCTACAAAAGACCTCTTTCAAGTGCTGAAGAGGAAAGACTTGAAGACTAAGGTGCGCCTAACACAAGGTATTTTCAATTGCCTCTTATGCATGTGAGAGCTGGACACTGAATAAGGAAGACCGAAAAGAACTAACAGATCTGTCCTGGAGGAAATGCTCCTTGGAAGCGAGAATGGCCAGACTTCGTCTCATCTACTTTGGTTATGTTGTCAGAAGGGACCATTCCCTGGAGAAGGATGTCATGCTTGGTAAAGTGGAGGGTTGATGGAAAAGGAGAAGGCTCTCAACAAGATGGATTAACACAGTGGCTACAACAATGGGCTCAGGTATAGCAAGGATCATGGAGCCGGCACAGGAATGGGCAGTGTTTCATTCTGCTGTATGTAGGGTTGCTATGAGTCGGAGATGACCTAACAACAGCAGTCAGTCCCCAACTGCCCAGCCATCTGAATATAAGTGAGTCACCCCCCAACAGCACTGATCACATGCTAACATACTATTGATGTTTTTCTTTATGTTTATTGTCTTCTTTTCTCACTAGATTGGAAGCTCCATGAGGGTAGAGGGTTTTGTCTGATGTTTGTTGATATCGATCCATAACCGAGAATGCTACCTGGCCCATGACATAGATTCTCACTAAATATTTGTTGAATGAATAAGTAATTCAAAACACTGTCTAGGTGGCTCCTAGCTGCCCTTCAGGTCTGGAATTGAGCCCACTCCTGTGGCTTCCATCCAAACAAAAGACAGGCAGGCATATGAGCTGAACATTTATATTGGGTAGATATAGTCCTTGGAGAGATCAATCATGGGAGACTAGAAGGGCTGTGTATGCACAGGAAGATAGCTCGGGGGGGCAGAGTATGTGGGAGGGAAGGAGACAAAGATGATATGACTATGAAGAGGAGGTGGGAGGAGAGCTGTTGCATTGTGGGAGATTACAGTTAACATCATGAGACCAAAGTATATGTCAACCGCTATATGGAATATGAATTTGGTCTGTAAATTTTCACCCAAATCACAATAAAATTTAATTAAAGGAAAGAAAGAAAAAAACACTATGTCTCAACCACCTCCAGTATTGTGAGGACTATTTCATCTGGGGGACAGTCTGCCTATTAGAAAGTTCTTTAGATTGAGGTAATTTTTTTTTTTTTTTTAGTAGCTTTTAAAGAAAGCTAATCATTCTTCTAGAGGCAGCCTTTCAGATATTTGAAAATCGCCCTTGAATCATCTGTCCCTGTTTTTCTTTAGGAGAAACATCCCCAATTCCCTCACATGAGTGAGGCTACTAGAATTAGTGGCAGATGGCTGAATTGGGAATATAAAACAGAATTAATCACCTCTCACATTCCAGTACCATATGTCTACTCATAGCACCAAAGATTGTATTTTTCTCTTGGAAGGCACATCAAACTTCTCACTCAGTGAGGGGGAGGGAAGAAAGGAATTGATTAGTTATTAAATAGCAACTAAGTGCCATGTACCATCCTAGGCCCCCTGTGTGCATGCTCTAAATTGAAGCACCCAGTCACCTAGCCTTGAATTTTTATGTTACTACTGAGTTCCAGAGCTGGGACTGAACATTCTGTCAGCAAAAGTCTCTAAACTCATCTTTTGTACAAATGCTTCTGCTAAATCATATATTCTGAATCTTCTACTTCTGTGTTTGATCTTGAGATTCAAAAAGTTTCAGGACCTCACTTTTATCTCAAATTTCTCGTTAGTATTTATTTTAACCATATTTTCTTTGGGAGCTCTGGTGGTGTAGTGCCTAAGGCATTTGACTGCTAACCAGAAGGCTGGTGGCTCAAACCCACAAGCCACTCTTCAGAAGCAAGATTGGGCAATCTACTTCCATAGGGATACCACCTTGAAAACGAAAATACATACAAAATAAAACTTGCCATTTTAGAAAAAGAATGTTTAGGTCAAAGAGTATGAGTACATGTTGAGGACTTTTGAAATACAGAATTTCCCAGTAAAATATGGTAACTCATATATCTCAGCAAATACAGCACATTAGCAGCAGCAAGAGACAGAGAGACATTTTGAATTATTTGTAGCCAACACAGATTTAGCTAAAGTCTTTCCTGTTACTTGTTAAAACATGGGTTTATCAAGTGTATATATGTCATAAGGACATGACTATAGTGCCATATCACTCTCTGGAAAAGTTGTGTGGGAGTTACTGCTTAGTCATACCCTTGGCAACACTGAGAATTGGCATTCTTTTTCATTCTGGCAAGCTAATACGATAAACAGAAAATATTGAAGTTGTTAAGGATTTCATTTTACTTGGTTCTACAATCAACACCCGTGGAAGCAGCTGTCAAGAAATCAAACAATGTATTGCACTGGGCAAATCTGCTGCAAAAGACTAAAGTGTTTTAAAATCACTAATTTTATATAGAAAGGAAAGAGACCTGGAGAAGCAAAGCACTATTGAAGAATAAGAACAAAGTAGCAGGTCTCACACTCCAATCTCAAAACCAGCCACAATAGTCAAAATAGCCTGGTATCGCTACAATGACAGACACATAGATCAATGGAACAGAATTGAGAACCCAGAAATAGATCCATCAACCTGTGGTTAGCTGATTTTTGACAAAGGGCTGAAATCCATTACATGGGGGAAGAGATAGTCTCTTCAACAAATGGTGCTGGCAAAACTGGATATCCATTTGCAGAAAAATGAAACAAGATCTGTACCTCACATCATACACAAAAACTAACTCCAGATGGATCAAAGATTTAAATGTGAAACCTAAAACTATGAAGTTTCTCAGGGGAAAATTTAGGGGCCCTCATTTATGGCCTAAATAGACTGTCAAGCATAACCCAAAATGTACAAACAGCAGAAGAGAAACTAGATAAATGGGATCTTCTAAAAATTAAATATTTATATGCTTCAAAAGACTTCTCCAAAAGAGTAAAAAGAGAACCTACAGATTGGGAAAAAATATTCAGCAATGACAGGTCTGGCAAGGGACTTAACTTCAAAATTCATAGAAAACTCCAACACCTCAACAACAAAAAGACAAATAATCCAATTCAAAAATGGTCAGAAGACATGAATAGACACTTCACCAAAGAGAATATTCAGGTGGACAACAAACACATGAAGAAATGTTAACGATCGTTAGCCATTAAATCAAAACAACAATGAGATACCATCTTGCCCCAGCACTAGTGGCAAAGTTCAACAAGACAGAAGATAACAAATGCTGGAGAGGATGTGGAGAGATTGGGATTCTCATACACTGCTGGTGGGACTGTCAAATGATACAACCA